AGGATTCAACCAAATTCAAAAATTTCTTCGCCCAAATGCTTCAAATAAAGCCTAGATTCGTTTCAGCGAAAGAAAAAAATTGGGGGTTAGGTGCACTTTAACATATTTTATGGTCAGCATGCCCATAATGTTTTTTGTCTCAAAAAGTTTGAGTGTGAACGTCACACCTGGACAGCCTACCTTGGACCATAATCAACAGATGTACAATTAAAAGTGGTGTACATGTATTTGAACTACCCCTTTGAGAAGGCCTTGTCAACTACAAATTGCGTCCTCTAAATGAAAATTTGAAAATCCCAACCCCTACTCCCCACCCCCCCAAAAAGAAAAATTTTGTAACCATGCAGATTTGGCTAAAGTAAGGAACTGATGCTCGTTTTTACATACAGTAGTCTAGAAGTAACAGACAGCTGAATACCAAGAATTCTTACTTTTCATTTTGTAATAAGACTCTCTCTCTCTTACCTGATCTTCGTCAAGAAGCAGATTTTCCTGATTGGGCAAGAGACACAAAAGAGTGAAAAATAAATTGTTTAATAAAAATCCTATTATTTTTAAATAAATAGTTCTGTTATATATACACTGTAAGCAGTTGAAATGCTATAATAGGGATGGCAAGGGGCCAGATTTTGGTTTCCATATTATATTGATGTGTCTGCATCTGGGTACAACTGTTTATATCTGGTAGAGATTGTGATTTCTAAATCTCTGGAATATACATGTACTGTAGTGGCACCTGTATTATTCAATGTACAGTATTGTAGGGAGGGTTCATTACATAATGTATATTTATTTAACATATTTAAATTTTTTTGATCCCAAAAATTTATAATGTACAGTATAATCATGAAGAGGAGTTAAACATGTACATTGGCACATGAATATAATAGCAATTATGAAAGCAAACTTGATATATATTGTGTGTCATTAAATATAAATAAATAAGACCGCAGTATATGTTAAATACATTTTAATTATACAATGTCATATTATCAAAGAGACATGACCACTGAATATTAGTCCACTAAAAGACTACAAATATATTAACTAAAAATACATTGTATTTGTAAATGATAACAAATTATAATTTGCAAAGCTCACTGGTTTAAGATCACGATGAGCATATCCTCTGTCATGGATATAAGCCACAGCAGAAACTATTTGTCTAAAGAAACCCCTAGCTTCCTCCTCCTACAGTAAATGGAAGCAAAAAAGAAATAATTAGTAAAGGAATAATCCAGAAACAATTTATCAATTTGACAAATAGATTTCATGTTGTAGTGCATCTGTTTGAAAAGCAATAAGCCACAGAAGGCATCAGGTTACAGGAACAAAAAAGTGGCGATAGCCAAGTGTGTCAATGATGTTCAGATTACTAAATTTTCTGTAATCAGTTACGACCCACAACAACATGGAATCTACTTGTGTTATACACTGTAATAAAGAAACAAAAAAATGCCAGTTGATTTCCTGTTAGTTAATTGGCATTAATTCACTGGTCTTTGTCGTCATCCATATTGTCACTGAGCGCCATAAATTGTCATCAATCATTGATTGTTCATGTCCTTACTCCCACTATGTCTCACCTTGAGTTTGTCCTTAGCAACAATGTAATCAAACAGTTCTCCACCTGGTGCATACTAGCAAAAGATAATTAAAATTTAGTCATGCTAAGCACATAAATAAATTAAATTTACTTATTATTCATGATTATCATACAAATTACATGTATTTGTTTGAAATATATTTTAATCAATACATCACTAAATGGTGGAAGTTGTAAACAGGTACAGTTGTGGTAAAACATGTATGGAACAGTATACAATCATGTACAGTACATACTCAACAGAGGCACATAGCAATACCTCCATGACCATGAAGATGTATTCATCTGTCTGGATGATATGATAGAGCTGGCAAACATGTTGTTGCGTTAGATTTTTCATAGCGTCTATTTCCCGTTGCACTCGTGGTAGATCTGACTGTGGGAGAGAGCAGAAGGGAACAATGTTTAGTAAGACCTCAATTGATATAGCAGATTTATTTATAGAGCTGATAGAGTTACCCTGAAAAATTAAAGGTTAAATACTTAATATAATTTACTATGTAATCTATGCAAAACTCTGTCACTGACTTCCAACTTGATGTACAAAACTGGATGCTGATAGGTAAGCTTCAAATAAATTTTAGTGTGTTTAAAAGTAAATCACATGATTGATTGTATAGTACATTTAACAAATGTTAAAACTGAAAGACACACTAATCAATGATGAATGAAAAAAATGCACTATAAATACATGTAAATATTCAAAACATAATAGAGGCAATACATACAAAAGCCTGACTCAAAAATTTATTCTCTGTGACACAATCACCTACATGATACATGTGAACAGACAGAGTCAAACTACTTACACCAAGTTCTTTCTTGTTCATGACTTTTATTGCAACCTATTTTTATGACAAATAAAAAGGAAAACACAGATCAGATAACTTTTAGCTAACAGACTCATTGTCATCATTTTAATTTATCACATGAGAGAATATTGAAAAATGGCACAATTTTAATAGCTCGTACACATAATACCTAAGGTAATTGTTTAGAAGCCTG